CAACATATATATATATATATATATATATATATATATATATATATAAAATGAATCATATGTAAATATGAATACGTGTAAATATTTCTTAAATGTATGTGTGTATTTATATATACATATAAATATAGACAGCAAACAGATATATTATGCAAACAAACTTTTATTGTGAATGCGATTAATCGATTTGACAGCCCTAATTTGCATATATTCCAATTTTTTTGTATGCTACAAACATGCATATAAAATAAAAATAATAAAAAGAAAATATTGCAAATAATAAAGAGAAAAACTCCTGACATTTGTAGTGATTTATATTTGCATATGTTCATATATTCCGATTTTTTTGTATGCTAGGAATGTTATAATATATATATATATATATATTACATATATATATATTACAAGTAATGATGAGGTGACTAAAAAGTGATTTTTGTTTTCATATGTGGAGATTATTTTGCGTGCTAGAAATATGCATATAAAAGCAAATATATATAAAATATTACAAATCACGAAGAGGTGATTAAAAACTCCACACTGACGTTTATGCAGATTTTTCTATGACAGAATTATTTAAACAAAACAAAAAATACAAATGATAAAGAGGTGATTAAAAACTCCATAGTGACTTTTAAAGTGATTTATATTTGCATGTATTGTCTTTTATTGAGCTCAAACCACACAGCCCTGTAATCTGGTGAACTCTGGAACAACAGTGAGGTGAAAAGCTTGTAGGAAGAGTCATTTTCCTCTTCCACAAAACAATACACAGGGTGTCCTCGCTCCAGGAGGTTTTTGGCCATCATAGACACCAATGCCTTGGCGTAACCTTTCTGTCTGTGTTGTGGCAACGTGTAGAGCAAACCAAGAGCAGCGTGTTGGTACACAAGCAGCCAGGAGATGGGCTCGGTGCCGCCCTCCTCTATCACACACAGTGAAGGATTATGGGAAATGTAGTTCAGCACTGAGTTGTAGCTGTTACGGTCTCCGCCATATTTCCATGTGCTGTTCACCAGATGTGCATGAGCCGCACTGAGCGGAACGAATCTGAGTCCAGCGGAACTGAAAACATCGAAAATAAAAGAAAAGGTCAACTATTAAAAACAAGGTTACGAACGCTTCTTTAAAAAATAAGGTATTTAAAGGGGTCATCGGATGCCCATTTTCCAAATGTTGATATGATTCTTTAGGGTCTTAATGAAAAGTCTGTAACATAGTTTGGTTAAAATTTCTCAATGGTAGTGTAAAAACACCTTTTTTACCCTGTCAAAAACAGCTCTTTTCAGATCAAGCCGTTTTGTAGCATTTTCCTTTAAATGTTAATGAGCTCTGCTGCCCCCGCCCCTCTCTTCCGAGCCGCTCTCAGAGAGACTGTTTACTTCAGCCGCATTCATCGTGAAACTTGCTAATTAGCACATTATTAGGAAAGGCCATTTGCAAAGATTCATTACTAAACATTATACTAGCTTCTTCTGTAGATGAGGCTGGATCATGAATGATTCGCGCGAACATAGATGCATTTATGTAGATCGGGGGAGCATTCCCTTCAGAAACAATGTAATCCACTGCGTCTTCAGCGGCTCAGATGTCGGGAGTAAATGACGACTGCTGTTCATTATTACATCCAACA